TCTATCTATCTATCTATCTATCTATCTATCTATCTATCTATCTATCTATCTATCTATCTATATACATACATACATATAATTTTTTCCCTCCAACTACCCTAATACTGACAAAGGTCTCATGAGTTACAAATATCATCTTTCCATGCGGGACTATAAACAGTTCAACCTTAATAAGTCTCTTATGATTTCTCTTTCCTGTTTACCTCTTCATGTTCCACTTGAGTCTTGTATTTGAAAGTCAAATTTTCTATTCAGCTCTGGTCTTTTCATCAAGAATGCTTGAAAGTCCTCTATTTCACTGAATGACCATTTTTTACCCTGAAAGATTATACTCAGTTTTGCTGGGTAGGTGATTCTTAGTTGTAATCCTATCTCCCTTGCCCTCCGGAATATTATATTCCATGCCATGTTGTCCCTTAATGTAGAAGCTGCTAAATCTTGTGTTATCCTGATTGCATTTCCACAATATTTGAATTATTTCTTTCTAGCTGCTTGCAATATTTTCTCCTTGACCTGGGAACTCTGGAATTTGGCTCCAATATTCCTAGGAGTTTTCCTTTGGGGATCTCTTTCAGGAGGAGATCGGTGGATTCTTTCAATTTCTATTTTGCCCTCTGGTTCTAAAATATCAGGGCAGTTTTCCTTGATCATTTCTTGAAAGATGATGTCTAGACTCTTTTTTTGATCATGACTTTCAGATAGTCCAATAATTTTTAAATTCTCTCTCCTGGATCTATTTTCCAGGTCAGTTGTTTTTCCAGCGAGATATTTCACATTGTTTTCTAATTTTTCATTTTTTTGGATATGTTTTACAGTGTCTTGATTTCTCATAAAGTCACTAGCTTCCAATTGCTCTATTCTAATTTTTAAGGAAGTATTTTCTTCAGTAATCTTTTGGACTTCCTTTTCCATATGGCCAATTTTGCTTTTTAGGACATTCTTCTCCTCATTGGCTTTTTGGACCTCTTTTGCCATTTGAGTTGGGCTATTTTTTAAGGTGTTATTTTCTTCAATATTTTTTTGGGTCTCCTTCAGCAAGCTGTTGACTTGTTTTTCATGATTTTCTTGCATCACTCTCATTTGTCTTCCCAGTTTTTCCTCTACTTCTCTTACTTGCTTCTCAAAATCCCTTTTGATCTCTTCCAAGGCCTGGGACTGATTCATATTTTTTCTTGGAGGCTTTGGATGTAGGAGCTTTGACTTTGTTGTCTTCTTCTGGTTGTATGTTTTGATCTTCTTTGCCACCAAAGTAAGATAATATAGTCTGACTTTTTGCACTGCTTACTCATAATCCCAGCCAATTACTTGAGCTTTAAACTCTTTGTTAAGGTAAAAGTCTGCTTCCAATATGGAGAAGGTACTGTCCCAAGCATCAGGGGTTTGTTCAGCTGTTTTCAGAGATACTTCTAGGGACCTGTAAATTTTCAGTTCTTCCAATGTGGTATGGTAAGGCACGAGGTGTTTCCTCTCTACCGCCACAACAAGCTCCACCACACCAGCGCTCCTCCTCACTTCAGGACCCCCGCCTCAGAACTGTGACCCAGATCCAAGCACAGGCAGAGCAAGAGATTCCTGCCTCAGCACTGGCAAAGAGATTCCTGCAATCCCCCTCTAATCAGCCACTCAATTCCCCCTCAGTCTGTGGACTGGAAGCTCAGGAGGCAGTCGCTGCCCCAGAGGCCGCGCTGGGGACTAGCAGCTGAGACCTACCTCCTTCTCTCACCGCAGTCACAGACTTTTCCCATTCACCTTCTAAGTTGTCTTTGGTGTTCATGGGTTGAGAAGTCTGGAAATCGCCACAGCTGCCCACGATTCAGTCCTCTGAGGCCTGCTCCAGCTTTGCTGCGGCCTGTGTGCCCATGCCGCACTGCGCTCCTCTCCCCGTCCGGTGCAATATACCTTTCCAATCTACCATTTAGGTTGTCTTGGGCTGGAAATTTGTTTCACTCTGTCCTTTTGTGGGTTCTGCTGCTTTAGAATTTGTTTATAGTCATTTTTTAACAGGTATTTGGAGGGGTTTGGGGGAGAGCTCAAGCAAGTCACTGCTTTCACTCCACCATCTTGGCTCCCTGTATTATTTTTCAACACTTAATATATGTGTGCTGCTAATCATATGAGCATCTGAGCAGCTGATGCCAAATAAGTGGAATCTTTTTTCTTCCCAAACTCATAGACTTCCTATCACCATTGCAAACCTAAGGAGAAATAATTAAACTGTTAAAGTTCAGAGGCCCCATCTTTTTATAGCCTGAAATCCTGCCAACTCCTCAGTGGAGAAAATGAGATGAAAAACTCTCGGATATAATGAATAAGTAGCTTTAAAAAAAAACAACAACCATTTTTTCATGACCCATGCAAGCAAAAAGGCAAACTATGCTATGTATATCATTCTATAAATGTTTTAGTGTATAACTTCTTAATGTCTTTTAGTATAGAAAGTACTATGCTCAACACTGCTGGCTTTGGAAGACTTAACATCTATCTTTGGGGTACAAGTTATAGAAACTTGTACTTGGGAGTATTAAGGCATTTAGAAAAAGACCACAGAGGTAAAAGACCATATTGTTACTTAATTTTGTCTTGTTTTTTATTTCTGATTCTGGATTTTTTTTTTTCCAACAGCATTTCTTTGAAGTAGAGGAAGAAGCTGCAAAAATGCCCTCAGTGAACACAAATATATTCAAAAGAAAGCTTATGGAGAAAAATGATATAATAAGAGATTTACAGGAACAATTAGCATCCTATAAAGAAAATAAGTTTTTCAAATTGGTAAGTTGAAAGGGAAAGTATGAACTAATTGTGAAAATATCTTCAGCAAATATCACAAAGATTCAATTTCAGAGAGAGGAAAGTTTGGTCAAAATTATTACCCCTCTTGAGAGAGCTTCTAGGCCATAGAAGGAATTAAACTAATACTTTTTTGTGTTTTAATCTTGGAGGCACCTTGTAGAAGATCCAGTTTAGAAACAACAGCAGCAATTTCATACTCATCATAAGAACAGTGGACATTTATACTAGTGTTTTAAGGTTTACAAATAGCTTCCTTATGCTCTAGTTTGAGTTTCCCAGCAATCCTGGGAGGAAGGAACTAAAGACATTAGTGTCCCCATCTTACAGATACAAAACCTGAACAATTTCTTATTTAGAACGAAAACAAAGTGGCCCAATTTTTTTTTACTCAGGGGAAAGCCACTCCAAACTAGAAAACTATCAAAGAAGAATAAATGGAGGGAAAACACAATTTTTTTTTTTTTTGGTGGAAGTGGTGGGGGTGGAACTGATCCCATTGCACTGTTTTTAATTTTAAGTTTGACCTAAGTCAGAAGAGTTTGAAGCTCCCTACTTTATTTTAGAGATTCTGAAAGATGCAATGAATGTGAGCTCCTTGAGGGCAGGAACCAAGTGAGTAAGCCCTTACAAAATGCTTTTTGACTGACTAACTGACTTCTTGCCAAGAGCCTTAAGAATACTTCTAAAGCAAGACTTTTTAACTTTTTTTGGGTGTCATAGCAGTCTGCTGAAGCCTATAGAGCCTGTTTCAAAATAAAGTTTTTAAATGTATAAAATACATAGGATTACAAAGAAAACCAATTATATTGAAATATAATTATCAAAATATGTTTAAGAGAAGTTCACAGATTTTCCAATTTGCCTTCATGCAGAAGAAGTCAAGGGTTGCCTTACTACTCAAACCATAGGTTGATATACAAGGAAAGAGAAAAGGAAGTGGCTAGGAGATTTGACATCAATTTTCCATCTGGGAAAGAAAAGAAATTTAAAAGTCCAGACACCTAGAAAGCAGTCGTCAGCCTCTGCCAGCAAGGAAGGGTTGAAGTCAAGAACATGAGTAAAGTCACTCTTGGATTTCTTAAGGAATCCCAATTTCTAGTTCAGATTTGTCTTGTAATCCCTGGTCCTTTAAACTAATTCAAGGCCAGTTACAGTCAAGAGGCTGAGGATAATCTTATTGATAAGTCTAGGGCTGAGCCCCTGACTTTCACATTAGAGAAGTTTAGTGGAGCTCTGAGTCAAAGTCATTTTGCGTCAGGAACATGAGGCCTAAGCCTGAGAGGCCCTGTCTAACCCCAGAGGTCTTTGCTAAAACATGTTCCAGGCCTCATGCTAGGTGACTAATGATACAAAGATGAAAACAACTCTGTTCCTGACCCCATAGAACTTAGAAGCGAATAAATGCGTGCAAGCTACATTCACAAATAAGGAAGAAGCAAGATAAAATATGGTATGTGGTAGGTAGGCAAAAGAGAGACTTAGACAAAATGCTATTTTTAAAAAACGTGAGGTGGAAAGAACTCATTCCCCCCCTCCTTTTCTCATCCCCTTCCCATTCGTACACTTAAGACCAAACACTATTTCATTCTTCTTTGCCCCCTGTTCCCCCCATTCCCAGCCTCCCCCTCCCGCCCAGTTTCTAGCATAGAGCTTTGTACAAAGTTGGTACTCAACAGATATTTATTGAATGGATTACAAAATCAAATCAATCCACTAGCCTTTATTAAACACCTACTATGTGCAGGACACTGTGCTAGAGAGACAAAAATGAAAAATGGCCCCTGCCTTCAAGGAGCTTACATTCTACTGGAATGGAAAGGTCTTTCACCACTGGTTCACTTTTCCTGACCATGTTTTAGATTTTTCTCTATTATACTGAGATCATCAAAAAAAGAGTGGTAAACTTTTTGGGTGAATGTTATATAGAAAGTCCTCTTGCTGGGGGTCAGATGGCCTAGGCGCCCCTCTAGGGCTGATATGGTAGCAGGTCAGGGATGTACTGGGCTTACGTCTTGTTTGATTTCATGACGATGTGATATAGAGTAGAAAAGAAAAAGGAACCTTCCCCTGCCTCTATATCTCTTTTTAAAAATACATGTGCTGAAAAGAAAGCATAAGGGAAAATGCTTTCTATCCTTTGGGAATAATCTTCTAAGAAAGTCTACGCCCCTGTAGTGAAGTACATTCTGGTAAATTGTGTTTTCCCTTTAGTTGAGGGTTGTGAAGACTTCGCCTTATACAATTGCCCCCCCTTGTGGTGAAAAAAAGAGAGGCGCCTAGTGTCTGAAGTTTGAGAAACTGATGGACTTTTGGGGAGAGTTGCTTCATAGAAGTTGCTGTAAAACCAAGGATAGCCCTGGAATACCTATGATATTTTACTGATGTTGGTAATGAAATCACATTAAAAAATTCTTAGTGTCAATCAACTTTATTATCTTTCACATATACTTTTTTGGGGGATTTATTTTGAAGAACAGTATTTCAACAGCTGTTTTGGGAAATGAAAATATATTAAATAATTCTTTAAATGGCACATTATGACAAAACAAGTAGAAGAAGTAAAATCTTCTGGTAACAGAAGATGAATTCCCTCATTAATTAGTACTTGCTCCACTGCTTTACGCTGCTCTGGAAAAGTTCTTGTGGGTTTTTGTGTGGGGTTTGTTTTTTTTTTTTTTTTTTTTGATGGAGGAGGGGTTAAAATGCAATAAGAGTGAATGGGCAGGGGCAGCTAGGTGTCACAGCATATAGAGCACCACCAACCCTGGAGTCAGGAGGAACTGAGTTCAAATCCAGCCTTCGGCACTTACTAGTTGTATGTCTCTGGGCAAGTCACTTAACCCTGATTGCCTCAAAAACTAAAAAAAAGAGAGTGAACAGGTAGAGGGAGTAGTCAGTGGTCAAGAAAAGTTTAGAAGCAAGTTTATATCCATTTTCTCTTTCCTGTTATGATGGATTGTAGTTAGAGGCCTTGAGTTTACATCTTCCCTATGCTATTTACTCCTCATGTCATTTGGACAGGTAATATAATCTCTGCGGGCCTCAGTTTCTCCAAATGGAAAATAAAGGAATTAGACTTAAATGATTTCAAATGTTCCCCAAGAATATGTGGGCATGGGTAGAAAAGAGAAAAGTTATATTATAAAATAACCTTTTCTCTTGGGACTTTTTTTTTAGGCAATTGAGGTTAAGTGACTTGCCCAGGGTCACACAGCTAGTAAGTGTCAAGTGTTTGATCTGAGGCCAAATTTGAACTCAGGTCCTCCTGACTCCAGGGCCAATGCTCCATCCACTGAGCCACCTAGTTGCCCCCTCTTGGAACATCTTAATGCTTAGCCTTTGTCCTCTCCCAAGTGGTGCTCTTGGTTTGTGGGACCTTTTCTTTAAATGTTCTTCACCCCAAACATTGATGGAAGCAAATGAACCCCCTCCCACCCACCCACCTCCTTGGCTAACACACCTCTGAAACAGAGCTGTCACTCAGGAAAGATAGCACCCCAGGGCTGCGCTGCCTCTATGTGTTACCCACTGTCTGGCTGTCACTTCCCCAGGAAAGCACCTGCTCTTCTCTGAGGCTGTCAGGAGACAGTGGGCAGGCATCAGGCAGCCCCTCCCTGACCCATATCCTTTTGAGAAGCCTAAATAGTAGGCATGATAGTTGCAGAGATGAGACAGACTTGCTCCGCCACCCTCTGATAGAGGCTACTGAGAAGATGCACAAAGGCCTAAGGTAGTCATTGTGCTTCCTAAAATCATCCCCACTCTCCCAGGGATGTTTTGGGGCCTCAAGGGCTGAGGACCAGGGAAACTACGTGTGTCAAGAAGACTCATTTGAGAAATGGCGTATATGCCAAGTAGGCCAGATATTCGAGTCATGGTTATGGGGTGACAGAGAACCAGTACTAAAATTTTGTAAAATTGCCCAAAGTACTCAGCCTCATATGATAGAAAGTCTTTATTTCAATCATGTAAATGCATTTATTTTTTTTTAAATCCAGACTGATAATAGATCAGCACAAATAAACATTTACTGCACAATGTAGCTTTAGAGGACTAGATGTATTTTGTTAACTACTATTTAATGATCACCTTCCTCCTAATTTTGCTTTGCTTACACTATTTGATTTAAAAGTCTCTTGGTTTAAGCAAGCCAAAAACTACTGCTGTGGGCAGATGGTAGAAAAAACACTGCCACAAAACCTGCCACTCAAAGTGTAACAGATGACTGTAGCTACAGAGAACTATTCCTTTGTTCATTTTGCTAATGAGTGTCCTCATTGCTGCAGGACACTGAATAGTTAATTACTTGCAGTTCTTCTTTGTAACAGATGGTGGAGCCAGAGCTAAAGATTATCTGAGCAAAGCATGAGTTATAAATTGTGAATGAGGAAATTAACCAGTTCTATTTTCCCAAATTATTGCTCTAAGACAATAAAAAAAAAATGAAGTGGGGGTAGTATTTAGGTCTTAAATCATGTTAAATTTTTCACATCACTTCACCTGATTAATTCAAATTAGGTTGTTTAGTTTATGATAATAGGCCCTCATGTAATCATCAGCTGTTGATATTCAAATTCTGCCACTGGTAAGGGACTAATTCTTAAGCCTATTAAGGCCTGGACGGGTTATTTTAAAAGCCTTTTGAGTCTATAAATATATTCTGAAGTGATTTAGAATTGGATAATGTCAGACAAGAAATGAATGACTTCAAATATGAGAGGTCTTTCTTTATTAAGAAAACAACATTATTGATATTTATGAGATTTAGGCAAGTTTTTCTAGTTAACAATGATTAGTTGTACCTTATTAATTAAAAGGAACCAACATTTCTAGAAAAAATATAGTTTCCCATCAAACAAAAATATAAGTATAACTCAAAATAATAACCAAACTTTATCAGTGATTTATTATTTCAGTTGCCCTTTTAAAAATCTAAAATAAAATTTAAACATGCATATTCGGGAGCGAATCACAATTTTACATAATGCATGTTAGCTACCTTTTTTCTTTGAAATGATTGGGAATCATACAGGCAAGTAAGTCATTTACTTTCACATATCTTTTAAATTAATCAAAGAGTCGGAGTTCTATTAATTAGGATAAAAATGTTGGGTTCTTGTAGTGAGTTTCATCACTTTTGTGAGTAGTTATTCAGTATTTGTAGCTATGAGATTTTTCATTTTTCAGTTTGACTGAAGATGGCTTTCAAAGCTCCAATTTATTTGTAGTATTCTAGGTAGCAAGCTTTGAGAATCACTCTTTATCTTAGTTACCTGTTTGTTTTTTACAACTATAAGCACTTTTATTTTAGGGCAGAATAAGTGATACATAGAAATGTCATGATTTTCCTCCCCCCCCCCCCAATTACTTAATATCTTTATAGACACAAGGCTTAGTTGGATGTATTATAGTTTAAGGCAAAGTTTGACTCCAGCTTCTAAAAATCTGTTACATCTTCATTTTAAAGAAGAGTGTGGCAGTCACATCAAGGGCGCCATCAGAGAGGATATTCAGATGTTTTCAATAGCTTTGAAACAGACAAGAAAAAAAAAAAAGACTAGCTGCCCAATAAGCTTCAGTTGCGCAAGAAAAAGACTCTACCATAATGGACGTGGCAAGATTTAAACAAAAGACGCACATAATAAAAATGTAAATGAGTTTGCTTTACTAAAACTATAACTTTAAAGTCTTTTGTTGTAAGTTATCCTGAAACCTTCTTACAAGGTAATCACTGTTTGCATAGAGATTTAAACCGAAGTCTTCAATAGCATTAACCGCCTGCACAGTCCAAGTGTGACAGGCATGCAAAGCCACGTTAATGTTCAGAATATGAATTGCCTCTGGGTGGCTCTTGCACCAAGCAGAAAACCCACTGTGTGGCTATCGGCGGGCCTGATGGACTCCATGCAGCTCCCAGCCTGGAAACGTCACCGGTTTGACATGTGATGTGCTCTTCCCGACACTGGCAGCAGTGACGCTGAGCAATAACACAAAAGCAACAAGGCCCCCTCCTTAGCCATGCACTTTCCAACCCCCTGGTGCTGCCCATCCACAGTCTCCCCAGCTTGCCTAGTTACGGACGGCGCTTCAGAAACACACAGAGGGAAGTGTGGGTGGAGAGACCCCAGCTGCCTCCCCGGACACAGCCTCCATAAGAAATTGACCTGAATGATGAGGGCGCACAAACAGTATGATATGCATTATTCCCGTCAATAAAATGTCCCCATGTGTTATGGTCTTTGTACATAATGTACTGCGGTCTTTCTTCCAGCAAGCTCTTTCATTTTCTCTATTCATAGGATAAAGAAATGTGTAATAGAATTCAGAAAATGATATGATAGAGCTGCTATATATTTACGGCTCTTGTGGTTTGCATATTTAAATCCTGGCTTAGAAATATGAAATTTCTGGTCTTTTAGGAATCCTTAAAGGAAGAATACAATGAGAAAATAGCACAGCTGGGAAAGGAGATTAGCGACCTCAGAAGGGAAAATGACAAACTGAATAAGGCCACTGCAGGACTTGAAGAGGACCTTCAACTCTGTGAAAAGGCAAATACACTCTTAGGTAACATTTTGAAGTGGTCTGTGAGCCAGCTGATGGGTGCGAATCAGTCTGAGTCCCCCTAAGATTTCAATTACAGGCTACCATGTATGAATCTTGCACATTTCTCAAACCCTTTTGCTTGGTCTACTTGGAATTTGGATCATCCCTATGGATGATCCATGATCTATTTCAGGGGAAAATACTTTATTTTTTTTTTAAGCATTCTTTTCTGGGAGTCAGGGCATTTGCTGCTCATTTCTGACCCCTGCCATTTTAACATGGTGGTATCATGATAGAGTTGTTTAAATCTTGCCTTTTGACTAATGTTTAAGAAACTTAATCTGAAGTTTTCTATGCTTAGAAAAAACTGTGAACAGTTAAGGCCTTTCAGTAATCTGTAATTCAGAAGTTACATATTGCAAATAAAATGCAAAAGTGATATTATGGACAAGTACAAGTTCAGATAATTATGCATACATATTTGAATATGCTTTGTGCAGAAACAGAGCACATCTTAGGAAACATGCTTCTTAGCTTCATTTTCTGGGGCTCATTTTAAAGCATAAATGGGAATTCGTATCACAAACTGTGGGGTCATTATCTCTTATAACTAAATTACTAAACGTGTGTGCATTTATAAGTATATTTTGATTATTTGCAGATATGTCTGATCTTGTGTTACCTCCCCAGTGCTGTCACTAGGCTGACTGGTGAAAAGCTGAACTGTGTGAAAATAAAATCAGTTACCAAGTCAGCAGTATGACAGCAGTGCTCAAATACGCCACCATCCAAAATGTCGGGATTGCACGTTTTCACTTCTCATTTGCTGTCAAGCTTAGCAGGTGTAATCAAGAATGACCTGCTAACGCACTTCGTATTGGCTGTGACTAACAGCAGAGATGTCCGCAGCTCGTCCTGAGGAGAAGCGGTGGGCTCCAGGCCACACTTGGCTCTTTAAGTAACTTCTTAATCTCTATCTGACCGGCAGGCTGAACAGCAGGAAGGAGGCTGGGAAGGTCAAGGGCGATTGTGAAGGTCACAGTCCTGCTAGGACTTTGGTCCACTGTGCATTCCATTGGCTTACAGACTGACCTAGCGCACACAGTTGGAATGCGTGGACAGAAGCATGTAATTTCATGGTCTGCTTTTTTCTTCTTTTGTTTTCAGAAGGTGAACTTTCGGCTATGAAACAAAGAGTGGAGAATGATCAGAAAACGATTCAAAAGGTACTGTAACTTTTCGACATTGATGAATGACCCTTTTTAATCGAAATATCTGCATGCTTGGGGAACCGGCAGAATTTCCAAGTAGTCATACAAAGCAAAAGAAAATGGACATAATACATGTTCATCTGTCCCATTGCTTATTGTCGGGTGACTAATGATGAGAGGGGATTTTCTCCTAAATTGCATTTCTTCTTTGAAAAGTGTAGTTGTTGGAAACCTTTTCTTATTTTGTAAATTTGATAACTTGTGCTTAATAGTGAGGCATTTAAAAGGTTCATAAAGAAGATTGAATGAAGTTTTTAATGGGTGTATTTGAGTTATGGGGAGAAAAATTATAGGAATCTGCATTTTTACGTCTGTTGTACCCATCACAATGTTGGTATGTGTTGGTTTTTATTTATTTTGATCCTTTAAAGGATTCTCAATTTCTTCAAATTAGGTATCCTTTAAATTGGTACAGATTGCAGTCCCTCCATGTTGAATTTCTAATCTTTGTCTTTTCATAGATGTTTCATAGAGGATTCACCCTTTTGCTGGAGGGGCCCCCCATTTTTTTTTGATATCTTGATGTCATCAATGTACCATTGAGCCTATCCCTCTCATCTATCTTCTCACTACGTGACTGGTCCACCTCCTATTCCAGTCATACGTGTCTTCAATTACAGCTTTGGCCTCACTTTTTGTGTGCCAGCTATTATTGGTAACATGCCGTAGCCTACGTGTTCCCATTGCATGTGTTTCCATTGCCCTTTGAGTTAATGGTTATTTGACTCTTCCAGTAGCATGGTGGTCTCTGTTTGCCATATAGCACCCCTTGGAGAATATCCTTATTAAGGAACACCACACAGAGTACCAACTATAAAACAGACAGGTCTCTTCCTCCTACTTAATAATAGGCCCAGCTCATCATCCATCTATGGTACCTTCCCAACATAAACGTGGACTGATTCAATAAAGCACTTGTATATAAATGAGCCAGGCTTATAGTACACAGTATAAAAATTAACGCTTTCATTCCTATTCTAGGGAAAAATTAGTACTCATGACAGTAGGCAACTCTTCTGATATCAAAGTAAGATAAGATATTTCCTGACTTACCCATGCCATAATAATAACCGATAGTAGGTCAATGTTTAAATTTCAGATGGCTTTAATTTGCAAAACAATATCTTATTTTGAAGAGAAATAACATTACAGAAGTATTTTCAAAAGAAACGGTCATCTTATTGGGCCAATTTCCTGTAGGAATTTATAGGGTAATTAATATTTCATTCCTGAATGATGAAAAATCCTCAATCTTCCCCCATTTTCTCCCCCACCCTCATTTTCAGCTCTGTGTAGAAAAGGAAAGGAGGCTCGATAAATAGTCATTTATTTGGTGAAGAACCATAGGAGGAAGGGGAATGGAATTACAGAATTATAATTTCCATGTTGGTGTTCCTTTTATCCAGAATCACAAAGAGAGGAACAAAAAGCCTACAATACAGATGACTCCATAGTTAGGAATTAATATGAAAGTTCTATGGATGGCCACCTGGGGCCATGAAAAGTGAAGAAAACTATGCAGCCAGAATCTTTATTCAGACCTTCAAGTTACTGGTTGAAGATATTTTCTGTAACTCTGTCCCTCCCTCACTCGAAGTCTTGGACTTCAGGATAATTTTGCTTTGGTTCTCCTGCTGTTTCTTTATTGATGGAGCCAGTTATCTGTTATCATTAGCCTAGTCTTACGTACATGTATAACAGATGGCTGTCCTTATGAAATTAACTTACTCAAAACTTATTTTATTAAAATATTTATTTCCAGTACACAGCATAGACTTTTAATGAGTTATTGTTGAAATCACAATGCCTTAGACTTTAGTCTTACTTGAGTGGTTACTCAAGTTTCTACCAAAGAATATTTAAGTTACTTATGATCTGACTCCATTTTACTAGTTTGGGAGTCCGTCACTGGGCATTTGCCTGAAGGAGTCCCAACTTGGTAGGACCTGCCTAAGCTTTGTTGCTCCACTGGGATATTCTTTCAAGAACCCAGTGCTTAAGAGGAGGCCCAAGTTGATATCCATCCATTAATGAACACTGTTGGGGGCCCAGTCATTCAACCTGTTCCAAAATCAGGTAAGAATTATTTTTTCCTAGCCCAAATCTCTTCATTTTGAAGTCACAAAGAACAAGTCTAATCCTTTTTCCAAAAAAACCAGCCCTTCAGATTCTTGAAAACAGCTGTCATATTCCCTTTGTCCTCTCTTCTCCAGGCTAAACATTCCCAGTTCTCCAATCTCAAGCACAGGTTGTCCTCCCGAGCCTGAAATGAACTCCCTCTTCACCTCTGCCTCTTGGAATCTGTATCTTCCTTCAAATTTCAGCTCAAATACTATCTCATATATGTGGTTTTTTCCCTGATTCCCTAGCTGCTAGTTACCCTGTCCCCCAATTACCTTAGATTTATTTTATATGTATTTTGCATATGCTTGCATAGCAGAGAATTGATAGGAGTCACTTTTGTGGAGCAGATTGGGAGACCCAATTGGGCAGGGGTCCCTTGATCACTCAACCCCTCCCTTGCCTAACTTTCTCCGTCTATATGTTGTTTAGTCTGGTAAAATGTGAGTTCCTTGACTTGAAGTCAAATTTTTGTACCTTCCATTCATAATTCCTAGTTTTGCCCACTGGGGCCAAACAGAACAAGACTAATTCTTCTTCCACAAAACAACTCTTCGAATACTGTGAGCCAGTAATCATGCTCCAAATAAACCTTCCAAATTATTTCAACTGAGATGCATATAGTGTGAACTCAGTGCTCTTCACCATAATGTTGTTCTCCTTTAGATACCCAGCTTATTAATATTATTTTTAAAATATAGTTACCAAAACTGAATATGATACTCCAGAAGTGAATTCATACCAGTGCAGTATGACTGTCCTCGCTAGTTCTCAATAATGTCCCTCTTTTAATGCACCTTAAATTTGTTTTCTCTTTCTTGGTTTTAATGTCTCACTGTTGACTAACATTAAGCTTGCAATCTACTTAAACCTAAAGATCTTGTTTAAAAAATAAATTTGCTAATTATATTAACATATTTTTAAAACTCTAATATAACTTCCAAGGAACCCTCCTCTCCTCACAGAACCCCTTCATTTGACAAAAGCAAATAAAAACAGTTCAGTATAACCAGTTAATATCATGGCAGTGACTGATAAAATATACATAATTCTGTCAACATAGTCCTCACCTCTCCTCAAGAGAAGGAGAGTTTGTTTCATCATTTATTCATGAATAAGCTTAGTTCTACTGCCTTTTAGTATTGCTTTCATTTAGATATTGTAGTTATTGTGTTTATTTTTCTCCTTGTCCCGCTTTCTTCACTTTGCATCAGTTCATCCAAGTCTTCCCATGTTTCTTTGAATTCATATTTGTTGTGTTGTTTCTTCAGGTGTCATAATATTCCATTACATCCATATTCCATAATTTGTTTAACTGACTTTGTTTCCAGCTTTTTGTTATCATAAAAGTTCTGCTATGAATATCATTATTAATTAACAGTATTAATCACAATATATTATATTATATTATTAATATTATTAAGTTCTGTTATGAATCTTATGGTACATATATATATGTGTGTACCGTAATTTCTTCAGCCATTTCCTAATTGATGGGCTCCTCCTTAGTTTCCAGTTCTTTGTCACCGCAGAAAGAACTACTATGAACATTTTTGTACATTTGAGTCTGCTTGGGATAGTTTAAAATTGCTTCCCAAAATAGCTGGACCAATGTACAGTTCCACCAACAATGCATTAACATCAATATTTTTTTGCAGCCTCTCCCATATTTGTCATTTCCCTGTTTTGTCAACTTTGCCAATTGATGGGAGTCAGGTGAAACTTTGGAGTTGATGATATAACTTGTATTTCTCTAACTATCAGTGATTTAGAGCATTTTTTCTATGTGGTTAATAGTTTACATTTCTTCTTTTGGTCACTGTTTATATCCTCTAACCACTTATCCCCAGATCTTTGTCGAATGAATTGCTTGTCACCTGGCAGCCAATTCTCTGGAGATGAGGTACTAGATTTTCAGGAATAATTGTAAATAAACTGGATTTTCTTAAAATATTTTGAATGTGTGTATAAGAGCAATATACTGTAATAATAACTAGTAAATTATCACATTTGGTTCTCACAGTGACTCTGAGGTAGATAACTATAGCTAAGTGTCACGGTGGATAAAGGGCTGGGCCTGGAGTCAGGAAGATCTAAGTTCAAATCCACCTCTTTTGCAACTTTGGGCACATCTTTTAACCTCTGTTTGCCTCAGTTTCCTCATCTGTAAAATGGGGATAAAAGCACCTCCCTCCCAGGGTTGTTGTGAGGATCAAATGTGATAATAATTGTAAAGCACATTGTAAATTGTGAAGTGCCTGGCACATAGTAAGTGCTATGTAAATGTTAGCTACTATCATTATTAACATAACATGTCATTCTTCCTGAATCCAAATTATTTGAAAAGTTCTCTCGCTTACGTTATTTAGAGTAAAATTAATTTCAGTGAAGTCTATTGAACAGAAAGAATTTTAAATAAATTCTTATCTTCAACCAGAATTTAATACTTTTTCATTTCAGTTAACCTTACTGAAGGACAAACTATGTGATGAGCTTGATCAAGAGAAAAGAGCAATTCAAGACATGGTAAGGGCCTTTACCTTTATTTCCTTTTTCCTTCCCCCTCCAACTCTAGCCTATGACACTGAAAATCATCATTTTCATGTTTTGAATTTTCTTTGCACATTTCTTGATCAAGAAATATTCATTCTTGTTATTCTAAATACTCTAATATATGCAATTTGGTAAACTATGGAAATATTTTAAAAGTGTAATTGTAAAGAAACCATTCTGTACCATTATAATATTTACCCTTACAAGAATCTTACTCAGAACCTTGTGTTACATATTTTAAATATGGCTCACAAGATTTTTTTTTTGGGGTGCATATTTTGTTGAAGATATTCAAGAAACATTAAGCATGAGACCACACTAATATAAGGGGTTTGCTAGTCTTAGTTACCAGTTTCCAGAAATGACAGCCCCAGAAGGGCCCTCACTAGATATTTTGGCATCCTGTGGTAGTCTCATAAGAACACTGCCCTTTTTATTCTCCTTTTATAGAGCTTTCCAGACGGCTGGTCCTTTATTTTATCAGTTGACTTTTTTTTTTTTCGCTTCCCCCCTCCCCAGCTGATGGTGTATTTTGGCTTTCAACTGATCAGCACTAATATGTCTTTGTTATAGTCAACTGACTGTGTTTATTATAATAAAAAATAAGACACAGCTTGACTTGCGTCCTAAATGTGCCGGAAAAGAATATGATACTGTTGGGAAGAGAAAAGGTTGTTCATAGAAAATCAACCCCACTTCAGATATTGAAACGTTTGCTTTTTTCTAGGTTGTCAGACTTTGTGCCAAGTCATGACTGCTCCCCTTATTTTGTTTTATGGCTCTTAGCTTCATGTGCTTTGGGTTCCTTGTCATAGAAATTAATGAAAAACAATGCTCTAGGACCACAATGAGGGCCTTCTATGGGACCAACTTGTAAATGCAGAAAGCAAAGACAATTTCAGTTTTCTTTTCAACCAGAACCTTCCTTTTATGATTTACATGTATATATAATCCTGAGATCTCTAGACATTTGCGATATCTAAATCCATATTTATATTTGTGTATCTGAGAGAAGAGGGTTTGGTTTCTTTTATATACCTATATCTGTATCTGCTATCTATCTATCCCTCTATCTCTAGTTCTACCTATATATACATACTACACATACATATATACATATACATACATACATACATACATATACAACATTTTATATATATGCATATACACAAAATAAAATAAGGAAAGCAGTCATGAGTTAGTACAAAGTGCAACAACCTAGAAAAAAGCAAATGTTTCAATATCTAAAAAATTTTCTAAGAATGATCTTTTATCTTCCCAACAATATCATATTCTTTTCTATCACATTTAGGACACATATATCTATATATGCATGGAAAGATAGATAGATGATAGATAGATAGATAGATAGATAGATAGACAGATAGATAGATAGATGTGTGTATATATGTAGGTAGATATAGCTATATAAAAGAAACCAAACCTTCTTCTCTCAGAGGCTTAGCCCCAGATGGAATTGATCTCTTTCACCCTCCTCCCTTGTCCCCTCTGCCCCTCATTTCTCTGCCATTCCTTCAAAGCTCAGTCTTTTTCATTTGTGAAAACTGAAACTTCTGGATCTTTGTATATTATGTCTGTTTGTATATATGTCTGTATATTTGTATAATAGTATATTGATTTGATTCATATTAGGAATAATTATTTGTTGTAGATTATGAACTCAGCTTTATTTTATTGCTTTGAAAGCAGAAGTATGTAAGATCTCCACGAACATACCTATAGCGCTTTTATGTCTTGTCTCTATTATAACTGTCCAGACCGCCTACTTCATGAAATTCTTTGCCTCCTATTTTTACTGTAGTTTTAGTTAGTGTTAATGGAATTATTCCATAAAAGGCTAGGAGGGCACTTGATACTTCCTTCTGACTGGAGATATTTCTTAGGCTCAGGCTGCACCTGTTCTGATCTACTACCAACACCTGCTCTCCCATCTGGGTTCTTCTCCCAGGTCTACCTGTGGAATAGGATGTTGGTTTTCACTTCTCCCCCTATTGTGTCTGAAACACACACACACACACACACACACACACACACACATCATGCTTTTAAGGGGCTTTGCTTCTGCTGACCACAGGGAAAGGAGCAATGTGTGTGTATCAAAATAACAGAACAACAGGGCCCTTGCAAAGTATAAGATGTATTAAAAACCTATAGGAGGAAGCATCTTAGTCTTTGCGGAAATCTACATTGTGCTGGTGTGAGAGAACACAGTAGTGAAGCACAAATAGTTAATTTTTCACTTTGGACAGAAGTTGTCCATTATGATTATGTTTTGTGAAAAATATTTTTCTACCGAAAATAAGTAGCTATGATTCTGAGAAGTCACTCCTAGAATGAGTCATCAAAAAGGACCCTAGGAAGTGGACAGAACTAGTGATCTGAGCCAAGAAAATGGTCATCAGTCACTGAGGTCAGGAGAGAGAAGATCATAGCTCCACAAGTGAACTGAGATATGTGGGTCCCTCCAATAGCAAAGAAGAGTTTGGGTGGGTGCAGAGATGTGACTACTGGCAGGTTGATGGAGGGCACTGGCAATGGGTATTCATGGTGTGTGTGTGTGTGTGTGTGTGTGTGTGTGTGTGTGTGTGTGTGTGCATGTGCATACTTCCTCCCCATGGGGCCTATAGTCCTGTAACTTGCCTTATAGTCCTTGAGAAATATTCAGCTGCTGGCTGCCATCCACAGGGTCTTTTCACCATGATACCTCCTTTCCAGACCCACTTACCTCCCATTCTTATATGGACTAAGGTCTGGTCTTTCTTTCTAGAGTGGTTGTACCCTCCAGTAGGCATTGTCTTCTATGTCTTCCCCTCAACGAAATTTGTACCAGGTGCAGTTTTGGCTTGGTCACAACTTTGGATGGAAGTCCAACTGAGGTCTGCAAGTTTGGAAAAAGAAAGAAATGCAAATATATTTCTGGCTGTTTTAAGGAAATGACGTGATGCAAGGAGACACCACTGACGATAGTGCCTTCCAATGAGGCCATATGAAACTAGCTTCAGATCCTAGTTTAAAACCACAGGTGAAGAAACAAAGTTGTACCAAGTGGAACCAAGTTTTACAAATGGCTAATAAACATGATTTGGGAAACCGAACAGGTGAGGGGAGGGAGGCCAGGATTTCCATAGACCTGGAGCTCGTTAGATCTCCCTAAGGTGCAAAAAAACCCCAGCTGTGAGTTCATGAAATTCCAGTTGTCTCTGACCACAGCACACCTTTAACTTTTACTCCAGGTTGACCTGGTCTTGAACCTGACTTAACACCTGCAGCTCTTTGATCTGGTTTCTTCATCCACTTGGTCTTTATTGTATGGATGAACAGGCTGAACTCCTTTGAGGATTACAGATGTGTGCCAAAACACTTTGCAGTATTCTAGGCCTTGATGCAATCAGCACAATGTCATCCATAAACAAAGGATTCTGGGGAATGCCACCATCTTCCACATGGAGTCTTTCTTCAGTATTGCTCTCATCAGTGGTAAACATTTTTGGCAATCAAACATCTCTCTCCCTGTTTTATGCCTCACCTGATGTTAATGATCCTTGAATACTTATTTCTGCTGTTATTTCTTCCAAGTAATCTAGAATGATTTTGAGATTCCTTGTTACAAAGAAGAATCTTACTGAATCAAATGCTTTTTTGTAATCCACAATTAATAAACATAATAAGATCTTATATTCTCTTCATCTTCCAGTTAATTATGAAATATTAAGGTCATGGTCCCTAACTGCTGAATTTTGGTTGAGAAAGCCTACTTTTCTCTTCTTCTGTTTTCAAAGAGAATTTCCCTCAATTCATTTATAGTTGATTGTACCAAAGTTTAATAAGAAGTGTTTAGTGTGTAAAACTAATCAATAGTGTTATTAGGAAAACCAGTGAAACATACTTACCAACCTAATATGTATGAAGTTACTAATCAGAAAAGTTACAAATATTAAAATATTTTCCCTTTGCATCCAGTTTTGCTTGCTATATTTTATGCAAATCATCAGTGTGTAGGTCTGTTGATTTTGATAATTTTACTGTTGTTTTAGAGCTAGCAACAATTTTATATTTTATCTTTTTTTAGTTTTATCTTTTTGTTAGTTATTAGTAATAGCTTATATTTTTAAGAATATATAAGTTAGGATAGAATCGTATTTCTGTTGAAAAAGTCATTTCTTTTTTTTTTTTTTTTTGGTGAGGCAATCAGGTTTAAGTGACTTGCCCAGGGTGTTTCTGAGGCTGGATCTGAACTCAGGTCCTCCCGGCTCCGTCAGTGCTCTATCCACTGCGCCACCTAACTGCTCCAAAAAGTCATTTCTTAAATCAACAATTTTCTTTTTTAATCATTGAAAGCCGTGCAGAATTGAAGCATCAAAAAATCTTACCACTAAAATACACTATTGGCCCTAAGTATTAATAGTCTTAGAAAAATGTAAATATGAATGCTTTAAGATCTTTACACCTAGGGCTTTTGGTGAAATAAAACTGAATACATTTATGTCCCTAATATAATTTCAATATATTTTTAAAGAAAAAAATTAGGTTTTTTTCTTCCCAGTATTTTGATAGAAAAAAAATTGTATCTTTTGTAAAAAAATTTTTGAAAACTCAAGCAAACCTTTAAGTGTCATTATTAATAGCTATTATTCTTTTTTATTTTCTCCAGATAGAAGTTGTGAAATAAGGGTTTTGTTCTAACTTTATTTGGACTAAACTTTGTGATTTCATCAGTGAAAAGCTCCCAGTGGCAGACTTTCTCTATCAGTGCAAATTGGCACCTTCTTTGCAACTATCTTAGAGAATCCCCTGAGGGCAGTAAAAATGTTTTATACTTATTTTTTATTTGGAAATAAGAAATAAAAAGGTCACAATAGAACGGCAACAAAAGGAAAACAAAAGGTCATCTCCTGTATTTTTGATAGACTAATGCTATCTTTTAACTATTACATAATAATATTTAGCAAATA